ATATATATATATATATATATATATATATATATATATATATATATATATACCAACCAGAAAAATACACATAATCAACCATAAATTTCCAGTTCTTAATTTATAAACCCAAAATCAGAACTCAATATGTACACTTCCTACATAATTTTCTGATATTATGTACAACTGGTATGAACAATCAACAAACACTGGTGGCGAGTATTTTTCAGTATAATGCTTGCATCATCTAAAGGAAAGGGCATTAACTAACCATGGATTTTTAGAAAAGCGACATTGGGACGAGTGGTCCAGGAGCAACAAAGGTGGTCACGGGAGAATAACAAGCTACATAAACAAAAAACAAACATAACTCGGAAAGTGCTAGTATTCAGGAATGGTAAGGCATACATATGATATCATGCTTAGATTTAGACGTGAAGTTTCCTGTGACCAAAAATCAATGATGAGAGATTAAAAAATTACACATGAAATTCTAGATGTAGAACCGTCAAGAAGATAATACGTAAGAAACCATTTGAAAACATAAATGATAACTTTTTTCTCACAAGAACATGTACGAGTCCAATGTGGCACACAGAAGCAAGTTTTATTCTACACAACATGAAATAAAACAAGTAGGGTCATGGATTACTGAACTGAACATGATAATAATGAGACTTATAATCAACACTGCTACAACACCTCACCAAATATCTCTCTAAGTTCTAAAAACAGATCAGAATTTCGAGGAAGAAGCCATTAATTGCACTCTAAAATACATTAATGACATATTCAAGACACAAGCATGCATACATTCATTATAGAATCACAAGCATACATTAATCAAATTTTTAAAACAAGCTCAACATTTGTTGGTCTAATACAGTGGTTGTGTTCTTCTGTGATTGTGTGAATTGGCGTTTAGGTATCGGACCGAGAAGATAAATTCCTCAAATGGGTAAGACCTATCTGATGACCTAGCTGTTTTGTAGTGCTTCCATCTTCGTGGTTTGTAGCCCTCGGGTCTGCATTAATCTGAATAAAAAGCCAGAAATAAGATACAACTCATGAAAACTTAATGATTTGAAACCTCCACTAAGAAAAATAACCAATGATAAAAGTATACTGTTGCAGCTATGGTCATGGACTTTTATTTTCACCACAAATTTAGAATAATAACATCTAATCAACAAACTTATTGTAAGAGGTCAAACATTAGAAAGTTCATTCCATTGTATTCAATGGACTGCGACGTAAAGCAAAACTTTTTTATCTATCTCCATTTCTAGCCTCAACACCATACTGGCCTTTCCCCTTTCCTACCTTTGTAATTTCAATATTATACAAAGGCATCAAGTGTGTATCCAAGTAAGACAAGTTGCAAAGTGATGGCATGTTATTTAGCCCATAGTTAACTGAACATAGTAAGACTGTTATCAATTATGAACTTGCAGAAAATGGAAAGGCCAATAATGCACTACACAGTGGATAAAATCACAGGTATATACCAAGGGTCCCATTATAGTTCAAGATGTTGTTAAAAGAAAAGAGGAGATCAACGATATACCCTTAGATTTTGAGAATTGACACTCTCTTTTGCCTAAACCTTCCCTAACAACCAGATTTGATGACTGACTAAACTTCGAGGAGATCAACTACATAAATAAAAGGTATAAGCTTGAACTTGACTTTGCTTGCATAGTTCTGTGTAACTCTGGCCAATAGTCTATGAATGTTTTTTTAACATATAAAACACAATGCCAAGTTTTCAAGATCACCTAACAGAGTCTTAAACAAAAACAAAATAATAAAATCAGTCAAAACTTTGCTTGGTATGACTTAAATAAGAGGACCCTTCTTTTCTCCTTTCTAACTGGAAAAAGTAGGACGCTGTAACAACCAATAATGAGCCTCTTTCTTCTGGTCACAAAACACATGTTGTCATGGCATTGGTCTTCACCATCTTCTGTGTTGTAGAGACTGGCAGGCAAAGGATATACTAGCTTTTATTACCCAATTTTTTTCTGCCTCCAACCACACCCCCCCGGCAAACCTTCTCTCCAACTGGACCAAAGAGCCGACGCTGTCCTCCGCGTGGCTCGGCGCCGATGCTCCCCAACGCAGGAGTGTGGTGCCTGCTCCGCCCTTAGTGCACTGGGTTTTATGATGTTTAGACCGTGACTGGATGTGCTTAGGTGTTTGGAAAACTTATATAAGGATCATCTTTAAACAACATAATGTTGATGCGGAATTAATATATACTTGAATATGTTGGATGAAATATGATGTAGGGAAATGATTATAGCGTTGCATATTCCCTGGTTGTTGTAGTTTTATGAATGGTTTCGAGATTCTTGAAAAGTCATTATGTGTGAATTGATGCTAGGATAGAATTTGTGGTTGTTATGTATGATTGAAAATATATGATTTCTGGAAATATAGTGGAATATTGGAGGAACCGAGAATGATGCTCTATTTCTCACTTTTGACATGCTAATCAAAGTATGATAAACTTGGTTGTAGTGTGAGTATGTTGTATGAAGAAAATTTACTAGCTGTCCTTTTTCTTTCTGGAAATAGAATTAGGAATTTTAGTACATAATAATTAGAGAAGATTAGAGTTTCTAATCTGACATAACATTGTTAGATCTTTAAACATTCCTTAAGCACATAAATTATATGTTTTACTGCACTGAAATGTTATTGAGTGAATGGTATGGACGCTAAGGATGCTTTAAAAGAGAATAAGTTAACGCCGAGCGTAGTGCTGTTATGATTTGCTGTAATCCAGTTTATAACCTTGAGTTATGAATTCTCGGTTAATTTTCTATTGGTTGATACTATTATGAAAGTTGGATTTAGGTATGTTTTGCTACCGTTACTTCTCATATTGGTTGAAAAAATATACCTTTGATGTACATTTCCAGCAGTATGGTAATTTTCTCCCAATACCTATGACTTCTACTTACATTTATACTTTATGGTTTGCAGGTGTGTGACACCTTGATCAAATTCTGCTTCATCATGCCGCTTGAACTTGGATAGTCTTTATAGTCTTTATTATTAGTTCTTGTTTACATTTGTTCTTAGAATTTAAATGTTTTTCCTATGTACTGAGATGTAAAAACTTGTAGTGTTGTAGTGTTGTGGCAACAAGTATCTTATGTAAAAGACTACAAACATATTATGCAATATAATTTGATATCTCTTTTTCAATTATCCTTCTCCAATAGAAATATCAGTGGTTAGTTTGACTTGATGTCATGAAAAATTTCATAAACTGCACCACAATGCAGGAGAGTAATAAAAAATCACACGAAATTAGCACCAAAGCAGGTCATAAACTACACCATAATTGGTTACTGGACAGCAGAAAATTCGCCCTTCGAAAATTACCGAAGGCTTTTGTCCTTCGGTAATTACCGAAGGCTTTTGGCCCTCGGTAATTACCGAAGGCTTTTGGCCCTCGGTAATTACCGAAGGCTTTTGGCCCTCGGTAATTACAGAAGAGCAAAAGACCTCAGTAAATGTTAGCGACAAGGGATTTACCGAGGACTCTTAGGACGTCAATAAACCTTCGGTAATTACCTTTTACCGACGGTTTTGGGCTGTTTCCGAGGGCTTCTGGCCTTCGGTAATGCCCTTCTTTTTTGCAGTGGAATTCACGGTGAGACTGACGGTGTGGACACCCAATGAGAATGTGTGCATTGGAGAAACTCTGTATTGGGTAACCTCGGCCAGAGCGTACAGTGTTGTGGGATATGATGTTAGGAGAAATGGGTGGAGGGAATTGGGTGTGCCCATGGTTGAAAAGGGTTGGCTAGAAGTGGTTGCTTGGTTCTGGCATGGTGGCTTGCAGAAGGGTTGGCTGGGAATGGGTATTGGGGAGAGGAAAAGAGAAAAAGAGAGAGAAAAAAAGATGGCAGCAACAACAGAGGAAAGAGAAAAAAAGTACAGCAAGGTCAGTACGAAATTAACTCCGTTTATGCTAATTTAACGGAGGGGACTTCATTTATACAATTTTTACAATTTTAAGACTCAATAAATTCATTTTTAAAATCGAATATTAAACAGAAATTCACGTGAAGACGAAATAAGTATCTAAGACTAGTTTTTATAAGAATTGATTTCCTTGATGATT